CACCCCCGTTGCTAAATTTGTAAGCTTCGATTTTATATAGAACGTCTATTTGTTTCTCCATGTCATTAAGCGAGGGTTGTAATGCCGGATACGAATTTATGAATTTAATACTAGAAAATGAAAAAAAAAAAATAGAAGTGGCATGGCCGCTACTGCAGTTTAGTTTTCAGTTCGCTCTGTGATGTGTTTATTAGTCAAAACTTTGTGTTAATAGTTGATAAACAGTGACATTATAAACAGTTAAACAAGTTAAACATTTTTATGTTCACGGATAAAGAGGAGAACCAGGTGATTAATTGAAGGTTACAAACGTAATTTATTTCTCTCTCCAAATTCTATAAAATTATCACAAGTTTAAGTGAATTAACTGCATGTTAATTTCCTTTATCTCTTCCCTATTTGTGAGTTAAATAAGTGCAATCAAAAGAAGTAAAATTACTGGTGCAGCAGATTATTCCGCTAAAATGACGGAACCATCGGCATCAAATGGTTCACCAACTGAAGTCAACAACGGTAATGCACAAGAAGCTATGTCCTGGGAAGTTATGTCTGGACGAAAACGACATGTCGTTTCAGACAGAGATCCACGTCATAAACAATTAAAGGTTAGTTATACTATTGCTACTAACAATAGAGTTGAAGTTTTATCTAGTACTCCGGAAGATAGACAGACAGCAAATAATAATCCCATTATTATTAGACCTCCACCTATTCACATAAACGACGTGAAAGACTACACGGCCTTAGTAACCTTTCTTCACAATATTTTCATTGTTTAACAGTTTCAGGTTAAAAACATCTATAAGAGGAGTCAGCGTGTATCCTGAAAATGTAGAAGTATACCGTAGGCTAGTGACCAGTCTTAGAAGGGGTGGAGCTGATTTTCACACGTATCAACTCCCGGAAGATAAAACCCCGCGAATCGCTAACTACAGAGGTTGCGATACTTTGAAAGAGCTAAGGAAGGGCCGCACAAGAAACCATACTCTGCAGAGGCTTCCTAGAGTTCAACCCTCACCACCATAACTACACGAGTTCCCGCCACTGCATCAGCCTCAGCACCCTCATCCTATTCACTCAGGACCAGAACTGCAGCAGCAGAGACAGTAACGAGAACCAACACCGGCAACAAACCAACAACAGAGACCTAAAGGTATGAGTAGGGGCATTGCCCTACTCCCTACTATTGAAACCGCCTCAAGTGATATCATACATTTGATTAGCGGTCTCAATAACCTCTTAAGTCTTCTACAACAGCTATCTCAGGCTACTCTCGCTCTTACCCAAAAATATGCCCCGTAATCAGACGACTGTGGGCTCCATGTCTATTATACTATGGAACGCAAACGGACTGAATCAACATAGAACCGAACTAGAAATATACTTACACGAGAAACGCATTGACATTGCACTAATAACAGAAACACACTTGACACCACATTCTAAATTGTACATCCGTGGTTACAAAATCTACAGAACTGACCACCTTGACGGAACATCACATGGAGGCACTGCTATAATTATCAAAACAATTTTAAAACATCATCCATTACAATTACCCATAACACCAGAGATTCAAGCTACAGCCATTACACTATCAACACAACGACAAAACATTACTCTTCCTGCGGTTTATTGCCCTCCGAGGTATGTCCTGACACCCACGATGTTTAGTAATTTCTTTGAACGTCTTGGTAGATGCTTTGTTGCAGGAGGCGACTACAATGCCAAAGATCAGTTCTGGGGATCCAGATTATCTACTCCAAGAGGAAGGAATATTAGGTATGTTCTTTATGAGCTTTCATTAGACACAATATCACCTAATTCTCCTACTTACTGGCCAACTTCTATACGGAAAACACCAGACTTACTCGATTTTTTCATAACTAAAGGACTCCGAACAACACCTCACTCCATAACAACGAGTTCAGATCTTTGCTCTGATCATTTTCTTTTGCATTTGGTATTGTTTGAAGAGCCTTGTGAAGCTACAAAAAAACAGTCCCTGGTCAATGGCATAATGGATTGGGACAGGTACAAGAACCATTTGGACATTGCTCTCTCTGTTTCTCTATCCATTAAAAACGAAGAAGTACTTGAGGATGCCGTTGAATACTTCACACGAAATATTCAAGAAGCAGCATGGTCTTCATCAGTAGCAAAACCTCAAAAATATGAGTTGTTACCAATGTACCCACAATACATAAAGGACTTGATCAAAGCGAAGAGGAGAGCTCGCAAAATATGGCAAACTGACAGACTCCCATCAAATAAACGAACTTACAACAGACTTAATAATTAACTCAAGCGACAGATTGGAAAATTCAAACGAACAACCTATGACAGCTACATCAGAAATCTCTCAACCGACGATGCAAGCTTGTGGAGACATACCAAAAATCTTATTAAGCATCGTGAAGTGTCAGCACCCCTTCGAAGAGAAGATGATTCCTGGGCCGTGACGGACGGAGAAAAATTGGAACTCTTTGCCGAATATCTTTCTTCTGTTTTTGTACCAAACACAGACTTCACTAACACTGTGCATGATAACAATGCACTAAACACTTTAGACGTGTCCTTACAACTAACTTCACCTCCTATTTCATTCACACCTTCCCAGATTGCTGAACAAATCAAAAAGTTGCCTAAAAGAAAAGGACATGACTTAATTAACGCTGAAGTGCACCAACAAATGCCTAGAAAAGCTCTAGTGCTTTTGACAACTATTTATAATGCAATACTGAGGACAACTAAATTTCCACTACAGTGGAAATACTCACATATAATAATGATTGGCAAGCCTAACAATGACAATAACTCACCTTCCTCATATCGGCCTATCAGCTTACTACCTATCTGTTCCAAAATTTTTGAAAGCTTACTGAACAAAAGACTTGTTGATATACTAACAAACATCCAAATAATACCTGACCATCAATTTGTATTTAGGGCACATCACTCAACTGTACACCAACTACAAAGAGTAACGGACTACACATCTACAGCACTAGATCAGAAAGTATATGCAACTGGCTTGTTACTCAAGCGTTTGACAGAGGAGAACAGGAGCTGGATGAGGGACCTCCTTGCCTAATGTAGATATCGCGCCGAGTGAGGTGCCGCTGGGCACTGATCCTCCTCATGCCTTTCATGACATTATATTTTGCAATCGACCTTAGATTCACTGGTTGTCATTACCATTATGAGAGGTGTGAATAAAAAAAAATTAAAGCTAAAAAAAAAGTACTAGAAAATGAAAAAGAAATTGATGATCTCGGTCTAAGTGATATCTTACTATAGAAATGCTATATTTGGATTTTAAAATGTTTATGAAATATAAAAAACATACTGTTTTAGTTAAGAAATGTTTTACGAATCATTCAATGACTTCATTTAACAATAATCTGGTTGAGGAGGAAATATTTTATTGTCAATAACGTGGCTTCTAGACGTTTGTCTCCCTAGATTCGTAATTGGCCACACTGTGGTTCATTTCAGATTTTTAATACTTTTTTAGGCAAATATTCTAATTAAAAGTTATTTGAAATAAAAACAGATCTTACTTTAAACCTCGTGTTAGTAACATATCCCACCCACTTATATGTTGGTGTTTCATTTTTTTGTAATCTACCTAATTATTTCTGTAGTATTCAAGGAGTTTAATTACAAAAGAAACAATCAAATCACAATAAAAGAAATAAACTTGATAAAATATTGGAAGTGTAAGCAAATCATAGGAGGATGCTCTAGAAATCGGGGAAAGCCGAGATCCAGGGAAAGCCAGTTCCTTATTCGGCTGACGGTCAAAGAAGAACTTAATAAGTAATAAACAATAAGTAAAGGTTCCGATAAGGACTCGAAATTTGTATAGAAAAACTATAACTAAGAGCTTTATTTCCTTATTATCTAAATATTCATAAAAATATTCTAAACTATATAAAGCTACTTTTTGTATACATACTTCTTCTTTGTTTACTTTCAATACTTACCCTTACTATATATTATATATATAGATAAGTATTGCGATCGTGAAAATTTTCGAATCTGAGTTTTCAACAGAAATACACGTGTTGAGGTTCTCTGGGTCCAAATAACCAAGTCCCCCAAAATGGTCTTTTTGTGAACAACCTAGCTCAAAAACCAAAACTCGTACGAAATTGAAATTGTGTATTTGAGATTTTTATAAGCCTTGGATATTATGTTAGTACATCTGGGTTGTGGCCATATAAGTAAACCCGTTGTGGTTGCCATAAAATGGCAGGTAAGGAGAAAAAAATCCCAGGGAGTGAGAGGCTGAGGGGGCCAAGCATGTAGAGCATTTCCCGCTTTAATGAATCCAATAACGAATAGGCTAAAGCGTGTGTAACAGCACCGCTAGTTGCCTGGCAACCGGATAACAGAGATTTGAGATGATATAAAAAGTACGAGTTCGCGTCCCGGTGCCGGAGGGGATTTTAAATTCCCCGCCCTCACCCCTCGGCCCGGGAAAATCCCGTATAGCCTAAAAGGCGAGGTAGGGAAGAACAAAAAAAAAAAAAAAAAAAAAAAAAGGTTGAAATTTATTTCGTGTTGGACTCACGTAAATGAATCTCAACCTTCTCTCTCTGGTTAGTATAAGTTTGGTTGTAACTCTAGAAAAATTGTCCATGTCAGATATGACAAGGTAAGGGATTAATGAAATAAAAAAAATATACAAGGCAGGAAGAAAACAATGGATACTAAGTATGCTTCCAAAAAAATAAATAATTTAAAAAAAGTATGTAACTGCTTTCAATTGTCATTTGACCCAATTAATGTTCAGTGACATAAATGTAACCAAAATTTTAAAATGACCCATATTGAAAGTTATTAAAAATTGGATGGTCTGTAATAAAAGAGAATCCTGAATACATTTTAGTTGTATATATCATAACCACAGTATATGTGAACATTGATATTGATTATATTTATCATAAAGATACAAGGCATAAATGGGAAACAAAGGATCACACACGAAAAATAAAATAAAAACCTTTTCTTTATTTGTCTTCGTAATTGGAAAACAAGTCTTGAATGTACAGATCCATAAGTTGTCATAAACAAAACATTACATATTAAAAGATCTCATTTGAAATATAATTAATTATAACAATCAATTATGTGCCTAAGACCTAGTTTATAAAACTAAATATTATTTACATAGTACATTTTGTAAAAATTATTAAATAAAATAAATATGAATTTTCTATATTTTAATTGTATAAGAACATAAAACAACAAGATAAGTACATATTTTTTATAATTATTAAATTATTTTTTTAATAGGAAAATTAATTATGAAATAAATTATTAAAATTTAAAGTAATTAAGTGATAAAACCAGAAGTAAATATTTAAAAATAAATTAAAAATACATAAATGAAATTGTAAAAATAACATTAAGTATATTTTTCAGGTGGTGGTGTATATCGAGATTTCCTACTGAATTTTGGAAATCGCAACTTATTCTTTCGCAAACTTCTATCTAATGAGATTACATCTTCAGCAGCAGTTGAATTAGAATCTGTAGAATATGCTTCTTCTTCAAGAGATGCTCCAGAGGTTAATATATCTGAGCGATTAGAGGTTAGTCTTCTTTGAATGATGGGTAATACTGGAGATTCAAGATTTGAATCAGAATGAGACAATTTAGCATTACCAAGACCCTGAAATTTTTTAAAAAGAAATTATATAATTACATTCGTTAAAATTACATTTTAAATAACATTTAAATTATATTAAAACATTTTGTAAGGGCTCCATAGCAAGAACCCACCAATTTACTGTAGAAGCTGAAGTTCAAAAATTTATAGATATGTTGAATTTAAAATAAATCTAGAAGCTCTGATTCTCAAAAAAGAAAAAAAAAAAAAGGAGCTACATCATTACTCAGAGAAACAGTTGTATTGATCGATTCAAGGCAAAAGTAACAATAATAATTCATATTAATGAATTTATACAATATATCCTATTTTTTTATCAACAAGGCACAGCTTGATTGAGCTAATATAATCTTTTAAAGCAAACAAACTGTTTACAGCCAAAAAGAATAAATAAAAAAATTAAACTAGTACAGCATGTTTGTAAATCACTGACTTTAAAAACACCTTCCTCTTTCTTCTTGTTTTTCAGAGTGAATTCATAAATACCAAGTATCGCAGTCCAATGTTAGAGCCTTAATGTCCTTTAGTTGCATGTATTTTTTCTGCATGATCATGGACTTTATACATCCATAGACATTATACTGAACAAAATACCAACTTTATTTATTAATATAATAAAATAGACAAATAAAGTAAACCGAAATGGGGCCGGAATGGCTGAGCAATAGGTAATCAAAGTTAAGCAATATCAAGCATGGTAAATATTTAGATGAATGACCTCCTAATTGTGGGATGATCACTCTGGGTATGTGAGGCGCATTAACCTAGTGTGAAGGAAACTCACACCAATCATGTATAGGAGTGATGGCCCTATCTTGTGTACTTTAACCAGGAATTGCTATGTGATTTTTCAAGATGTCAGTTGCCTCCCAGAGGTTTGGTCAATGGACTGCCTATTTAAAGAAGAGAAATATAGGTCCTCGTGCACCTGCATTTTTTGAGCGGTCATAATTCATGGGACTAGACCGATCTGTCACTGTCTTCGAACCCAAGTGAATAAGTGGTTAGGGCACTGTCAGATTGGCCCCAAAGGAACCTACTATGGTCCATAGCAATGTGAGGTTGGGTGACTCCCCACCAGTCTATCTGTGTACCCGAAGCAACATATATCTATAAAAATACAAAAAGATCTACATAGTCTATAGTGTTAACTGAAAAAAAAAAAACATTAAACCGATTATTCGAACAAAATGAGATGTAGGAAACGTTTTTTAGGTGAAAATATGAAATTTTCTGACAGATGAATAAATTGTTGGGTTTTATTAAACAGAGTCAAACATTTTAAGATTAAAATGTTTTTTATTTATGAACTTGTTAAGCATGGACTACAGCATAGGTTACCAGAAGAAGACAGATTTAGAATAGTAACACTGGTTTTGATTGGTTGAGTATGACATCAGAGGTCACCAATGAAAGAGAACCTTACTACAATGTGACGGTTTGCAACCACTAAATACAAAATTAGATTTTCACAACCTAATTTATTTATTTATAATTACTTAATTATAATTGCTTGATATTTTAGTATAATCACTCACTTTCAAAACCATTACATTCTATCAAACATAAATTATATCATATCTAATCAGTCTTTCAACATTATTATTAATACATGAATAATAATATTGAAAGATTAATAATTCAAGTATTTTGAGTGATACTCGAGAGATATTATTTTAGAATATATTAAACTTACTTCTAATTCAGGTGAAAATTCTTGACTCTGAGAATGAGAAATGTTTGATTTTTCCCAATCAAAGTGTTTAGATAACCTTTTTCCTTTTGGTGTAACTTCTTCACTACAACAAATATAGGATAATTTGAAAGAAGTAATGCCCTTGTTAAATCAGAATTATATAAAGGTAAATCTCAAATCAACTATAAATGTATTATAAACCATTTCAAAGTAAACAAGAATTAAATAAAAACTTGACTTGATAAAATAATAAGTGGACTAAATTAAAATCATATCTAATATTTTAATAATTTTAATCCAAATCACCCACTTGTCTCCACCAACAATAAATTCCACAGGTTCAGAAGGAATGTTCAAGGAACTATTGTCATCATCTTCTAATTTTTCACTACTTGATGAATCACCACCACCTCCACGATCTGAAACCAAAATAAATCATAAATTTTAGGCATAGCATTGAATTTAAAAAAATGTAAATTGAATTTTTTAGAGAGTGCTAGGTGTCCCAAGTTAAAAATATACAGGCTAGGTTGATTTAATTAAAGATTGAAACAATAACATTCAACATATCTATTGATTCTAGATCCTTAGATTGACATTTTTTACAACATTTTGGCAGAAATAGATCTTAAATTATTTGTATATGTTACTCACAACCAATTAGGTTAGATTTCAATACCTGTATTTCACAGACACAGTTTTAACCAAATCGTTGTTAACTACCATATTTAACACAAGGGTGGTAAATGGTATTGTATACAAGATTAAAAACTTTGAAAGGAATTTTAGATATAGTACCATTAATAATCTATTAATAATTAGGGAGACATGTAACTTCTCCATGATAAGGAACAGACATGTGACATTCATACATCCAACACCCAACTACATCAAAATGTATTAAGACTTCGTGGGCGTGATTAGAAAATCTTTCTCTGATTTACCAAACTGACCAAGCTTATTTTTGAAAAATGGTCATCACATTTTCTGTATGTAAATCACTATTAATGTGCTTCAGAAGGCCATAAAAATGCTTACCCACTAAGTACTTAAAATTACATGTTGACATTCATATTGATTTGTCTAATAAAAATTTAGAGTAAACAAAGAAATCAGAAGAGCCGATGAGGGCATAACTATAAAAATCAATTTTATGATTTTAGACCATTGGACCCTACAACTAAACATGAAAGCCTGTTGAGCAACAAGTGCTTGGAAATTCAATTGAAATAAAAGAATTATGGTGAGGAACCCTCCACTAAGGATGATCACAACCATAACTTTCTGTAGTGTACTAAGAATTAAAATTTACCCAGAGGAAATGGGTAATGTTGAGAGATTATGGTAACAGCAATCTGAGGAAGATTTGGAGCAACTATCACCTGATAAATCAGTTCCTGGAGTGAGGTAACAGAATCAATAGGGATATATTTTTTAATGTATGTATTCATAGTATTGTTGAAGTATATGTGCAGAGAGTATGCAAGTTACCAGAAGGCCTCGACAGTGCGAGTTCAATATAGAGGGTAAGAAATGACTAGATGGATGAAAGAAGATGAATAGATGTATGACCTTACGTGTCAGGCGGATCAGCACCTAAACCACTCTTGGTCTGCGGTGTAAGGGATCAATGTTAACACTCTGCAAGGATGGTAACCACAACCGGAGGGATCAATCCCCGGACTTGTGGGAGGATGAAATACTAATGGAGGGATCAATCTCCTGACTTAGTATATAGGAATACAAACAGACGGATCAGCGACCAAACTTGCATGGAGTAAGAGAAAAGGATAAAGGTTAATGGACATAGTGAAATAAAAAGCAGTTTGTTGAAGACCAAAAAGCATATAAGATTCATACACTGACCAACTGCGTAAAGGTCTACACACTGAAGGGGTGGAGATCCCAGCACCTAACAATTTGAGATATGACTGCGGTATTCATTCCGCCAAGACTAAAACGGCTATCAAGAGTTATTAAAACGGTTACAATGACAGTTATTTTTAAGCTTTGATTAGTATATGTTATCACCATTAAACTTTAATAAAAAGTATTTACAATGTATGTACATATTTCAATTTATAATTTGAGTATTTTATCATATAGCAATAAGAAATAAAAATACATTTTTAAAGTATATTGCACGGGCTTCTATGGCGCTGCCAGGTGAACTAGTTGTCCCCTGTAGCAAGAGGCGGTAATCTGTTGCCGCTTCAGTATTTCCCTCTGAGATGACAAAGTCATTGGTGAAGTCCAGATGAATTGTCCAAATGATGTGGTTGCCCCTCACCTTAAGGTCCAATATTGATTTCAATATCAGTTAGGTGTTTGTTTGGGGTGATGTTGAAATTGTAACGATGTGGGTGTTAAGCTGTTCCACTAACTATTCATTTATGCTGCCTTCAAGATCTGTCCCAGAAAGGTGAGTCGAGGTCTAGTTCACGCCGTGTTTCGCCAATTGAGGGCAGGTCGCTACAATTGTGGTAAACCATCGATGCGCCAGTTGCATGGAGTAAGAGAAAAGGATAAAGGTTAATGGACATAGTGAAATAAAAAGCAGTTTGTTGAATAGCAAAAAGCATATAAGATTCATACACTGACCAACTGCGTAATGGTCTACACCCTGAAGGGGTGGAGATCCAAGGACCTAACAATTTGAGATATGATTGCTGTATTCATTCTGCCAAGACTAAAACGGCTATCAAGAGCTGTTACAATAACAGTTATTTTTAAGCTTTGATCAGTATATGTTATCACTATTAAACTTTATTAATAAAAAGTATTTACAATGTATATACATATTTCAATTTATAATTTGAGTATTTTATCATATAGCAAAAAATAAAAATACATTTTTAAAGTACATTGCACGGGCGAGCTTGTATGGCGCTGCAAGGTAGCGGGCAGGTGAACAAGTTGTCCCCTGTAGCAAGAGGCGGTAATCTGTTGCCGCTTCAGTATCTTTAAGGAATTTGTGAGGTTAGGCATTTCCTTTCGCAACAAAATGAGAAAATCAACGTACATTATATGATCTTTTTCAGAAATAAAAAAGAACAAAATATTTTTTGTCAACAATGTGTTAATACTTAATTAATAATACATATACTTTTTTTACCTTGTGCAATTTTCCCATAATTTTAAATTTAACCTTTGATAATCCAAACAGGTCATGCAATCTATGTGTTTGGATTATCAAGATTGTCCTGTGATAAGTGTAATTTTGTATATAGAATTGTTTGATTAGTATCAGTTTTGTAGCACATGTATCCTGTATTTTATTTAAATTTTATATATATATATATATATATATATATTTAAATTTAAAATGTAATTATTTTAATTGTAAATGCAAATATTTATGTACATTTATTTTAACAAATCATTTTCAGATGAATATTACTTTTTTAACAACATAAATAATCAAAATAAAATAAATTTACTGCTTAATACAAGAAGCAAATACAACTTATCATTATCAATATTAAAAATAAAATTACCTCAACTTTAATAATGTTCAAAATTCATAATTTCAATTCATTTACCTGTGATACTATTAGTGTCATCATCAAGTCCATCTTGACTATTCAACCTCCCTGCAAATTAAAAAGCGATTTGATAAAGCAAAGAAGTTTCTATAATGGTGATGGATATATATCCATAATTTTTATTGTATATAATATTGGTATTATATACCATATATTTGCCAGTTGCTTTGTATTAATAACAAGGGGGGTCCTCCCGGCCTCATGATGTCCCACCCCCTCTAGAACGGCCTTATCGATGAACGAAGTCCAGATGCTTCATTAAGCACCTTGCCTCGTTCTTACTTGCTCTGCCGACTTGAAGCAGCTCAGAGCTGAGATCAGTTTTAACTGACTTCCCAACATTTACCTTTTACCCACTCTATTTGGAAAAGTTATCATGGGAACTTATTTGGATGGCGACACTTCTTGCGGAATTTTCCTCCTCGTGCAGGACGATTCCACTATATCAGAGCAGCTTAGGGCATTATGGGAACTAAAGGAGCCCACCACTGTTAACCGTAGACACCCCAACAACGTTTGCGAAGACATTTTCATGAAAACACACTCTCGCACCGCTGACGGAAGGTATGTTGTACTGTTGCCCAGAAGGGACACCACAGACAAACCTGATTTCAACCATGATACTGCTCTTCGTCGGTTTTATTTGCTTGAGTGTCGATTTGCTCGGGACCCCTAGCTTCAGGCTAAATACATCGAGTTTATGATGGAGTATGAGAATCTCGGACATATGTCCGTCACCAATACTCCTACCGATTACGTGATTTCTCATCAGTGTGTGGCAGGTCAAGCCACAAGAGAAATAGCTTCGCGTGGTGTTTGACGCCTCGAACAGCGTAGGATCAAGGAGAATTAATGACATACTCATGTCTGGCCCCAAGCTACAGCAGGACCTTGGCGATATCTTAATTCGTTTCAGGCTTTATCCCGTTGTCCTGACTGACAATTTAGTAAAGATGTAATAATAATAATAATAATACTTTAGTTATTCTGGGACGAGTCACGGTACTTTTAGTCTAAGGGGCCGTTTTGAAACCTCACTTCTTATCTATCTTATCTAACGTCATGTCATCATGTTACATAACCTCCCTCTTCTTATCCCGCCAAACTTTTGAGTTATTGCATTGTTTGGTTTTCAGTTATTCCCTTATTACGTTCAATTATTAAATTGTTTACTTTTGGCCCGTTTGTGTTTATTTTTAGTACATAGAGGAACTGCCAGACAACACCTTGATTCATATCTGTGCGAATTTTTGTTCACAGAGAAGAGGACCCGTTCCTCGCTATTTTAAGTAGCATAAAACAATTTTGCCTTCCAAAATAAATAAGACAAAAGGAAGTGAATAATTAACTTAAAATAATTTGTATATACGTTGTTTATAGTGTTTATATTTTTTCTTTTCTATGTAAATATGTTCTTTTAAATTTGTTATGATGCCGATGTTATGATTATAATTTGTTATGATGTTTGATGTTTTATATGTACATATCTTCTTAAAGTGTTTTTTTATTATTTAATTAATATATTTGCCGTCAAATAAAAGTATTTTTGTTGTTATTACATTTGTTTTTGTATCTGTTTACACTTTCAATAATACGAATTTAATACAATAATACGAAGACGTGAAGTAGGAGAAGGCTTATCACTGCGTTATGGGAGCTATCAGTGTTCAGGTTATAAACATTGCCAGATAGCAGTCAGTAGCGGCCCCTTAGACTAAAAGTACCCGAGTCACTTTATAGTATAATACAGGACAGAAATGTGGGCTAAAGAGCCTCAGAGATACATAAAAAAAATGCTGAGTAATTAGTCATAATAAAAAAATTATAAGTTACTTTCTAACTTAAATCAGTTACTAATAAAAAATTGAAAATAAAGTAAAAATAATGAAGAATTATCTAATAATTTATATACATATTTACAGTGGTATCTATTTACAATTTTATAAGGACTGGATGGATAAGAAATGATTGAACAGGCGGGATTTAAAGGTAGGAAGTGTATTGGATTGACAGATATGGGAAGGGAAGGAGTTCCATAGGGATGAGGATCGGATAATGAACGATCTGTCAAAAGCAGCGGTTCTGTATAAATCAGAAGACCTGTAACGAGTATTGGGAATTGGAGGAGCTCAGAGAGGTATGAAGGTCAGTGGGATTGGGTGACTTGAAAGTGGAAGGATGGCAGGAAATACTTACGGTACCGCCAGATATTGGTACATCTTGAAGACAGGCATCTGCAGCACATCCTTTGGAGAGCAGATCCTTCTGAGCCTGTTGTTGAATATGAACTCAACACTATCACATACAGTATCAGTACCAGTTTTTTTCAGGCCATTTGAACAATTCAACAGCTACGTGAGGATGAAGCAACATTTCTTTCTGGCAGCCGCTCAGCTTGTAAATTCAATTTATGTGGACTACTTTGACTCCAGTGCAGATTCCATCCAACAGCGCATGAACTCAAGAGGCGGCTCATTAGTTTATCATGGTGCATTAGAAATAAGCAAATGATCGTCCAATGTTCTCGATCTTCTCCCTGATGATTCTCAACCTGCTCAGTCGTTGCCCCAGGATGACAATCTGTTTGTTAAGATTCTGGGACTCGTTTGGTCTCCATCAGATGATTTCTGTTAATTTTTGGTGCAAAACCCACTGCGCGCAGCCTATCTTATCACACATGACCCGGATCTTCGATCCTCTCAGTTTTTTTGGCTCCTATCATCTTCCAAGCCAAAGCGCTCCTTCAGGAGATTTGGCGTAACCGTTTAGTTTTGGATGACCCTTTGCCTGAAACCCTCCATGCTAAGTGGGTTGCTTTGACTGACGGGTGGTCATCTTTGGGTATGGTTAGGATTCCGAGGTATATTTTTGTCGCATGCTCACAACTCCAACTCCAACTTCCTCTAAGGAATAAACTGCTGCGGTATACATTCAGGTGTCCACTTTAGAAGGGATGATTCACTCTTGTTCTCATAGCGCAGCTGGAATTTAGCAGTGCTCTCTTGCTGCACAGAGTCATGACCTTTATCACCATTGAGGCATCATTGCCTCTGCTGTACTTCGCGTCGTTCTCATGTGGCTGAAGATGCCCGTGTATAACCTGAAGATTTTTGAAGCGAACAGAGTTTTAGTCATCCTCAAAGCACCCCATGTTGACCAGTGGAGTTCGTAAGGTCCAAGACCAACCTAGCTGACATAGCCTCTCGAGGATGTCAACCTTCCTAGCTTTTGGTTCCAGGGACCTTCGTGGTTGAGGGAAAAGACCCTTTCCTCATTCGAATTTGGATCGCATGATAGCGAAGTCGTAGAATCCGGAATGTGCTTGTTTTCTCGTTCATTGCCAGAATCTAATGATAATGTATGGACGTTCTGATAATGAGCGAACATTCTGTGGATCCAAATATGTATATAGCAGTTTATTTAATTTTGTCATTATTTATTTATTCATTTGTTTATTATCATTATATTGCACTTTATAAATTATTTATTGCATGTATAAGCATATCGTCGATTATTAAATATTTATTCATTGCATATATTTACTTACTTATTCTATACTATTTATTTACTTATTATATAGTGTTTATTTATTATTATTATATTGCATTTTAAATAATATTTATTGGATGCATGTGCATATATTTCATTATTTATATATTTGTCTCATTATTTTGTGAATTTGGATGCTGGAGGCAGTTTCGCTTCTTTTCTTCTCGATAGGGCTGATTTCCGGCCTCTCACCGCTTTGTTTTGTTATACTTGTTTTATTATTGTTAAATCTGGCTAGCGCCAAATTTAGGGGGGCGGTATGTTGGATTTACATCCATAATTTTTATTGTTTATAATATTGGTATTATATACCATCTATTTTTAAGTTGCTTTGTATTAATAACACAGGACCTCCCGGTCTCATCATGTCCTACCTCCTGTCGAGGATGGCCTTATCTACAAACGAGATCCAGTTGCTTGACTAAGCACCCAGCCTCGTCCTCACTTGCTCTGCTGACTTCAAGCAGCTCACGGCTGACTGACAGAAAGAAAACAGAGAGGACACAGCCCTTCGGCTACACAATCCGCATCAGACGAAGGCAGAGACACACCCTATTAACTACGGCGGATACCACAGACAGTTCCAGCAACGAGATATGAGATCGGCCCCGCCACAAACAATTATATATGATGATTTAAAATTCATGAAATAACCCACAAAAATTCATGCCCCTTCAGAGATATTTATTTTGAAGAAAATAAAAAAGAAATTAACGATTTAGTAATTCATAAATATTTCCCCTAATCAAAATCTCTTTTGTTTTTACAAGAAAATGGCTCCCGGTCATATGGCATACAAGCCATATGACACCGGGACTCCCAATAATGTACAAATGGTTAATCTTAATTAAAAAAAAAAAAAACATTTAAATACAAGGTCATAACAGAAGAACTTTCAGAAATTATAAAATACAGTACTGATTAAAAAATATTAACAGTCCGCAAAAACCATCTTACAAAATGTGAATTTAACTAGGCTTAAATTGGAAGAAATGGGCTCGAAAACCCTTGAAGAACCTTATATTCTAGAAATGTCCTCTATGACTAATTTTCTTGTAAGAACCACTAGAAGAATGAATATCCAAGCTTCTAAATTGGTGGCAAAAGCATTGTAAGCATACAAGCGACTACTGAAAAATGTTGAAAGTGTGGTTTATGTAAAACATTAATCAATAAATCTATACTGTAATAAATAAATGTATAAATAATTAACTGTTTCTATTTAATTCATCCTCGTAACTAAGCATTTAACCATTAACATCAAATAAACCAAGTGTTGACTCAAATGTTGAAATTTGATGTTACATTTAACTGAAGAACTGATAATTAAAACTTGTATATGATGAAAAGAATTTGTCCTTTAGAGAGAACTCAACATGACTGAGGATGTACTCAGTTGCATTTTGAAAACTGGCAGTGTTAAAGTCATCAAATTATGGAATTGGAAATTAGTCAAGTGAAATGGTAGTTGGATGTGGAAAAAATTTAAATAGCCGGTTTCTCTGCGTTTTTAAAATTATTTTTGGGATACTGAATGTGAATTTGAAGTGCGAAAATGAAATTTTTTATTGCATTCCAAAATAAATGCAAAAAAATTTTCACACTTATTTCAGTTTTTTGGTCATGACATTTATGTTTTCGGAATGCTAAACTTGAATTTTAAGTTCGCAAACAAAATTTGTCACTGCATTCTGCCTAAAACAGCAAAATTTTCACACTTTTTATTTATTTGGATATTATTCCAAAACTATACATTTTATCGAAAATATTAGTCTTTATAAAATCAAATGAAATAAAATTGACTATAAATTTTATACATAGCTTTTTAATGTAGGATCAACAGGTGAGGAATCTTTGAGAAATGCACAGATTATGAATTATTGAGGAAAACCAATGCGGACAGCTATTTGTTTTGAAGTGAGCAAATCGCAATCTTCCTCTAATTTCTCACATATTGATTCTACATTAAAAAGCTACAAACAAACTTTATAGTAAATTTTATCTATTTTGATTTTATGTAGATTAATATGTTCGATAAAATGTAGTTTCTGATCCATACAAAAAAAAAAAAAAAAAAACAACTGAAAAGTGTAAACTTTTTGCTGTTTTGGGCATATATCTCAGAATGCAATGAAAAATTTTGTTTGTAAATTTCAAATTCCAGTCAGAGCTGTTGAAATGTGGAGGTGAAGAACTCAAGAAAGCTCTGCATGATTTAATGCTGACCATCTGGGAGAGGGAAGCTATGCCTACAGAATGGGCAACAGCCATTATCTGCCCAATACATAAGAAAGGAGATCAAACAGAATGCGCTAACTATCGAGGAATCTCACTCCTTTCGTGTGCTTATAAGCTGCTCTCTAACATTCTTTTTGAGAGGATCCTCCCATATTCTGAAAAGGAACTGGGGAAATATCAGGCTGGATTTCGACGAGGACGCTCAACCACTGATAAACTGTTCTCTCTGAGGATGATCCTAGAAAAGACTATGGAGCGCAAGGTAGTCACCCACCATTTATTCCTGGACTTTAAAGCAGCATACGACAGCATTGATAGAACACAACTATACTGTGCCTTGGAGGAGCTGAGCATCCCTCAGAAGCTCGTACGCCTAATCAAGATGACCATGGACAGCTCGAGATGTAGAATACGCGTTGGTTCTGATGCCTTCGAAGAGTTTAAAGTGAGCAGTGGGGTTCGGCAGGGGATGCCCTCGCCTGTCTATTGTTCAACTTGGCAGAGGAGAAAGCTGTAAGAGACTCCGGTATTCAGACCAGTGATATAATCTTCAATCGCCTGTCACAGCTTCTTGGTTTTGCTGATGATATTGACATAATAGGTAGGTCTGAACGGGCTCTCAGAGAAGCGTTTATAGGCCTTGAAGCAGCTGGAAGACCACTTGGTCTAGAAGTCAATGAGAGGAAAACTAAGTATATGAGAGTTGGTGGTGAGGTGGATCTGAACTCTCCATTTGAGGTGGGTTCTTTTAAGTTTAAGAGAGTGAAAAGTTCTATATACCTTGGGTCTGAAATTAATAGTAAAAATGATATGGCTCAAGAAATACAGAGAAGGATCACGGCTGCCAATAGATGTGTCTTTGGACTTGGCCGGCACTTAAGAAGTAGGTATCTCTCAAAGAAGACCAAGCTGATCATATACAAGACCCTTGTACGGCCTGTTTTGACATATGGCTCAGAGGCTTGGACGATGACTAAAAACGATGAGATGAAGCTGAGTGTGTTTGAGCGAGGAGTCCTCAGAAGGATTTATGGTCCAGTAAAGGAGGGTGATGTCTGGAGGAAAAGAAAAAATAGGGAGCTCAGTTCTCTTTATACAGACATCGACGTAGTCACGTATATTAAACTGGCCAGATTAAGGTGGGCAGGGCATGTGGCCAGAATGAGCACCGTTGAGATACCCAAGAAAATAATGATGGAGGAGCTGCACCTCGCAAGACGGGTAGGAAGGCCGAGGACGAGGTGGTTGGACAACGTGGCTTATGATGCGAGAACCCTGCTTGGTGTACGGAACTGGAGAGCTGCAGCAGAAGACAGAGCCAACTGGCGGAGGCTCTTGGAGGAGGCCCAGTCTCGGTAACAGGATGTCGTGCCACATATGATGATGATGAAATTTCAAATTCAAGTTCTGCATTCAAAAAAACATAAAATTCTGCAAAGAAACTGACAATTGGAACTTTTACCACATTCATTTAACTGGACTAATTTGATAGTCAGTTTCCAGACAAAATGAATTCATTGTCAGTCAAGGTGAATTCACTTTTGTCAAGGAACACATTTTTTACATTGTACCAAAGTTTCAACCATCAGAGTTCTGCCGTTAAATGAAAGATCAAATTTTGCCACTTTAATCAAAATGTTTGTATTTAAAGCAACAGCTTTCAAATTGACTAACTGAAGTAGTGTAATCAGATAAGGTTTATCAAGTATTTAAAATGCTTATTACCTATAAATGAAATGGTCGGTAGCTCCTAGTCAATAAGTTATAGTCCTTGCTAATAATGACAAGAATTTGATTCATAATACTAGGATTATTCAATCAGAATTAGAAAAATTGATATGGAGAAAACCCTGATAATATTAAAGTGATGAGAAACAGCAGGATGTCTACAGAGAAATATAAGAATTAAAGTAGAGTGGTAAGAATTAAAGACAAACTCATTGAACATGTTAAAAACTTTAAATACTAGGAGCACAGATGGATGAGAAAGGAATAATTGATTGATAATGAGATCAAAGAGAGAGTGAACTCAGATGGAAAGATGTTTTATACAGTAAATAGAAACTTTCTGAATAAAAGAGAAGTCTCAAGGGACACTAAATTGAAGGTATGCAAATCAATAATCTCCCCCTATTAACTAGCTCCTCTAAATCATGATTGGAAACTGTCTAATGTAGAAGCAAATACATGCTTCAGAAATAAGATTTCTTGGATTGATGAAAGGACCAATGGTCGGAAATAGACTAGTGTATCTTTCTATCTTTCAAAGGTATTGAAATCTCAAGAAATTTCAAATTAAGAGTACACAATGCTATGATAGAGCAATTCTGATTTTGCTATGAGACCTGGACAATAACCACGAAGCCTCTATATAACAATAAATGCCTCAATATTAAGCAAGAGACCACATGGAAGGCCAAAAAGTAGATGGATAGATCAAATCAACAAAGATATAATAGAGCTGTATGCAGAAAACTGGAAATAAATAGCTTAAGATAGGCAGAGATGAAGAAGACTGGTTAAGGCAACAAATGATCTACAAGATCTGTAAAGGCAACCACATTTTTAATATAACCACCAGACTCGGTGTGGAACCAATAGATAATGCTTTTGAAGAGCCCAGTCTAAGGTGATTTGGACACGTTGTAAGAGTAGACAACAATAGCCGGACAAGGCTAAGGTTGACAGAAGGTCCAACGGACAACCCCGACACACTTGAGAGTAAGGAATATGGGGATATTTTTAAGTGGAAGGAATGGAGTGGATAACTGGTTGAGAATTGTAGATTTTGTTGTAGACTATATAAAAAGGCAACTCACACTGCATGAGCAGCAGACGAAGAGCATTATAATCATTAATAAAATAAATAAATAAAAAAACAAGTTAACAAATAAAGAAAAAAAAAATAGTATTAATATTAATTATCTCACTTATACACACACACCTTTTAATCCTAAACTACGGCCATTTGTTGATCCTTTATACAATTCAGATTCTAAGACTGTCAGTCCTCTATTATTCACAATATTAAAGCCACAAATCCTTTCAATTTTTTTCCATCTATGAACTCTCTCAGCTAATTCTTGAGTGACTTCATTAAGTGAGGTCCTTGAAAAAAAAAAAAAGAGAAAAAATTATACTATGTTTATTACGATATTTTTTATTTTTATTTCTAAGATATATTATAAATTCATTTTTACTTTTTAGGCCAACTTTATATGATGTTCAAAACCGAATAAAGTTTTTTAAAACCTAAGTTGCTTGTCATGGAATATAGTCATAATTCAAAATTTCTACAACTGGTAGGAGCACTAACTAGATCTTGAGACACCTCACCATGTTTCCACAACTTTTTTGGTTTGAGTCCAAGTAGATTCAAGGCTAAAAATTATCATGGTTGGTATAACAAATGAAATCCTCTTTTACTAATATTGCCTAATATTTCTGGTAATGCTAAAATACTATTTACTTTATCATAAAATAAAAGCTTTGATGATGAGGAAAATATTCTTTGAAGCATCCTATTATAGAGAATATAAAAAAGTTCTATTATAGGAAAAATAAAAAAAATAGAGGAAACTGAATTGCCAAATTGACCTATTGAAAATTGGAACTTCCCAACCAAGGTTTTTTTGTTTATTTTTTTAAGCAGCATTTGTTAAAAGAAAAGTTTAAAAATTTAACAAAACAAGAATTGAGATGGTATAAGTCCTTGCAGCAAACTGTGTCATATTGGAGAGGCGAGCAAGTCATCCTCATTTCATAAAAACAAAACAGTATATCCATTTGAAAACCCCCTTCAAATGGTTTTAAAAAGCATGAATTCTATATCTTTTTTAGAGGATATTTTGTCATATCAAAAATGTTTATTAGTTAAAAAATTAAAGCTTTGAAGTAATTTATGGTGGTAATTTTTTCTGAAAACACAAGTACAGGCGGATACAAAATATCAAATCACATAATGTTTTATTTAAGGAAATTTTGTCTAGTTTATTATGGATCAATTGTTAATTACCAAAATTATTTTTATTTATTTATTGCTTCCTATTCAAGAAAAATGTGACACTTAAAAAACACAAAACCTAAATTAACTTCTCTCCTACAGAAAATCGGATCTTGGTTTTAAAATTTTTTTTTGTTGTATAAAGTTGAGGTCTGTTATCATCTCTATAAATATAATAAAAAAAAAATAAAACCAGCTCAGCTTATTTTGATTTATTTTGCTCTCTTGATCAAAGATTTAAACTTTTTTTGTATCTGTGAAAGTAAAGTATATATTCAATTCAATGGGAAATATTTGAAAAGATATATATAAAAAAAATAAATATTAGACATAAGGAAAAAATAAAAGGTACAAAAACTCAAAACTTTGGGTAGAAACTAGAAAATAATAATATATTCTTCTGAGATTTTTCTTAATTCAATTTTTTTGTAATAAAGATTATTAATTTTTTTTAATATCATGTTATATCTTTTCTTGTTTGAATAACTACTTGTATTCTGCTTGGCATGCTGTTTATTAAATCGGAAACCCTTTGATGATCAATGTGATCTTCCTTATCATGGCTCTGAGGTGTTTGAGGTCCACAGAAAAGTTTGATTACTATCAGACAAACCTCCATAGCTCGTCTCATAAGTGCTTAATGGGGTTAAGATTGGTTCTGGTGGCTAGCCATTGCAGGGTGTGTACTAAAAATGTTGTTAACCATGTTTGCAACATGTAGTCAAGCTTTGTCCTGCATAAAAATGAAATCATCCCTGATAAAAGGGACGAATGACACTACTTAACCCTTTTCAGGCCAGAGTGTCCAAATGGATACCACTAATTTGAATTTTTTTTTAAATTTAATTTCTCTTACATTATAGTCACTATAAAAAACACATCAAAAGTAGGGGACTATAATAGATGAAAGTATTAACTACTCTATAATGTAAGAGAAATTAAAAAAAAAAATCATACTTTATTTATTCTGGGACGAGTCCCTTTAGAATAATACAGAAAGAAAGAAATTTGGGCTAAGGAACCTCAGAGATACATAAAAAAAACACACAGTAAATAAATAGTTATAATAAAAATAATCACAGGTTACTTTCTAACTTTAATCAGTTAATAATAAAAAAAAATTGAAAAAACCTGACGTAAAAATAATTAAGAATGATCTAATAATTTATAGCATTTCCAAGTCAATTTCAACCTTTTCCAAATCAAATTCAACCTTTTCCAAGTCAAATTAAACCTTTTCCATTTCAAATTCAACCTTTTCCAAGTCAAATTCAACCTTTTCCATTTCAAATTCAACTTTCGAATTTTTGTCAATTTTCGATTTTTTTCGAAATGAAGGCCACTTACTATATTATCGAAGGCATAGCTTTTGAAAAATACAAAAAAAAAATTGATTACGCGGTTGCATATCCATTTATTTTAACATTTTAGATTTTTTCAGTGTGATATTTCTATTTGATATTCAATTATTTCCAAGTCAAATTCAACCTTTTCCAAGTCAAATTCAACCTTTTCCAGATCAAATCAAACTTTTTCCAAGTCAAATTCAACCATTTCCATTTCAAATTAAACCTTTTCCAATTCAAATTCAACCGTTTTCATTTCAAATTAATGTTTTAAGTTTTTGTAAATTTTATATATTTTTTTTAAATAATGGCCATCCCCTCCCCCCCTCCAATATGAAAGTCTATTATTATGCTCTCCTAAGTAGAATTTTCACTTACGGATATCGATTTATTGTACCTATTCGGATTTATTAGGACTAGTATTATGCTGTCCTGTACCTAGTTTTGAAAATAACCTCCATTTTAAGATTACGTGACTGCGTTTCGAACCATTTAAGTTTTTTTGACTTATTCGATATATGGGTGTATTTTTATGTTTTCGGAACCGTAGATTCTGAAAATGACATCCATTTTATGTTTACGCCACTGTGTTTTGACTTATTTAAGTTTTTAGAATTTATCCAATTTAAAGGTATACTTTTATGTTTCTGGAGCAGTAGATTTTGAAAACGACCTTCATTTTAAGATTAGGCCACCACGTTTCGACTTATTTGAGTTTTTCGGATATTTTTCATATGAGGGTGTATTTTTATGTTTCCGGAGCTGTAGATTTTGAAAATGACCTCCATTTTAAGATTAGGCCACCGCGTTTCGACTTATTTGAGTTTTTCGGATTTTTTTCATATGAGGATGTATTCTTATGTTTCTGGAGCCGTAGATTTTGAAAACGACCTCCATTTTAAGATTAGGCCACCACATTTAGATTTCTTTAAGTGTTTCGAATTTTTATCATAAAAGAGTGTATTCTTATGTTTTCGGAGTCGTAGATTTTGAAAATGACCTCCATTTTAAGACACTGCGTTTCGGCATATTCAAGTTTTTCGAATTTATCCAATTTAAAGGTCTACTTTTATGATGCCGGAGCCTTAGTTTTTAAAACGACTTACATTTTAAGATTAGGCCACTGTGTTTCGGTTTTGTTAAGTGTTTTTGATATTTCCTTCGAATAAAAAACAAAATACGAAGGATTAATTTATTTTAGTTATCTTTTTTAATGTTGTGGTCTCCTATCACAAAATTATAAGATTTCGAACAATTAGGTGAAAAATCTGATTACGGATGGTTAAATTTATTACCAGTTGCTTTTCGGCTTTTTAGTTTGCATTCTGTGGTTAATTTAACTTTAGCTTCATAATATTTATTTATTTATTCATACTCGAAAACATATTGATGAAACTTTGTATTGAGGTCATTTTCAGAATCTACGGTTCCGAAAACATAAAAGTAGACCTTTAAATTGGATAAGTAAGAAAAACTTAAATAAGTCAAAATACAATGGCGTCATCATTAAATGGAGGTCATTTTCAAAATGTACGGCTCAAAAAACATAAAAATACACCCTTACATCGAATAAATCAAAAAAACTTAAATAAGTCGAAACGCAGTGGCGTAATCTTAAAATGGAGGTCATTTTCAAAATCTACAGCTCCGGAAACATAAAAATACACCCTCATATGAAAAATATTCGAAAAACTCAAATAAGTCAAAACGCGGTGGCCTAATCTTAAAATGGAGGTCATTTTCAAAATCTACAGCTCCGGATACATAAAAATATGCCCTCATATGAAAAATATTCGAAAAACTCAAATAAGTCGAAACGCAGTGGCCTAATCTTAAAATGGAGGTCGTTTTCAAAATCTACGGCTCCGGAAACAAAAAAGTAGATCTTTATATTGGATAAATTATAAAAACCTAAATAAATCAAAACACAGCGGTGTAAACATAAAATAGATGTCATTTTCAAAATTTACTGATCGGGAAACATAAAAGTACACCCTTATATCGAATAAGTCAAAAAAACTTAAATAATTCGAAACGCAGTCACGTAATCTTAAAAAGGAGGTTATTTTAAAAAATTACTCATATGATAACAGACCCACGCATCGAAAAATTAAAGATAATTAAATAAATAAAAAAAGGTTGAATTTGAAATGGAAAAGGTTTAATTTGAAATGGAAAAGGTTGAATTTGACTTGGAAAAAGTTTAATTTGATTTGGAAAAGGTTGAATTTGACTTGGAAAAGGTTGAAATTGACTTGGAAATACTATATACACATATTTAAAGTAACATCTATTTACAATTTTATGGGGACTGGATGGATAAGAAATGAGTGAACAGGTGAGGGTATTGGAGCGATGGATGCAGGAAGCGATGGAGTTCCATAGGAATGAGGATCGGATAATGAACTATCTATCGAAAGCAGCAGGTGTGCCCATTCAGCGAGCCCTTGTATATAAATCTGAAGACCAGAAATGGGTATTGCGGGAATGAACAGAGAATTTGAATTGAAGGAGCTTGGATATGTATGAAGGATTGCAGGATTGGATGACTTGGAAGATGAAGGATGCTAGGAAATACTTACGACGTTAGGAAGGATAAAGCCATTTCAACTCTTCATAAAAACGGGAAACAGAGGCGCCCTTGGGATCCCAAAGATGAATCATACAAAGCAATTTATCAAACATTTTGGTTTCGCCTCAAGATTCTCAGAGACGCCCCCGTATACCGTACAGCGATAGTCAAAGTAGTGGTATCTATT